GCTTCCGAATAAGAGTGTCACTGATACTTAATGACTCGTGCACAGTGCTGCACATGCAGAAGACTTAAAAAAAACCTAACATCTCGTAGATCAGGTGTTTGACAGAAAACTAAGTCATTGGGCCATGACCCACTTAAAGGCCAGAAATTTCAGAGTTATGTGGTATTTTGTCTCTCAGGTATATACTGCTCAAATCTTTGTTATATTTCAATGACGCTCAGGGTATTAGCTCCTTGAATTATCTTATTCATGGGGGAAGGGGAGTCTTCATAAAATATTGCAGGGGGAAGATTAGGTAAAATATTATTCTTGTTCTAATTATTTGTAAGGAGTTTTAAGGTGTAAATCACTATGCACTGGCGTACTTGGAAAACAAACTCTTCTATATGTAAAACAACATTCATAATGTAAGTTATAAAGAATATAAATTTATGATTTGTTTTAAATATGGCTTAAAACTGTTTAAAATAGGATTAAAACTAAAATGTATGCTAAACATATGTGTTAAATCAGGGGTCCACAAACTTTTTAAACAGAGGGCAAGGTCACAGTCCCTCAAACAGTTGGAGGGCCAGATTATAATTTGAAAAAAAAATGAATGAATTCCTATGCACACGGCACATACCTTATTTGTAGTGCAAAAAACACTTAAAACAATACAATAATTAAAATGAAGAACAATTTTAACAAATATGAACTTATTAGTATTTCAATGAGATAGGATTGTTGTTGTTGTTGTTGTTGTTGTGTGCTTTCAAGTAGTTTCAGACTTAGGTTGACCCTGAGTGCGAGCTGGGTAAATTGCCTTGGAGGGCTGTATCTGGCCCCCGGGCCTTAGTTTGAGGACCCCTGTGTTAAATTGTTTGCCGTTTACACATAACATTTTGATTGCTTTAACTAAGAATCTCAAATTAGCATTTATTTTTTACATTTACAAAAATACAAAAAAGTAACTTTTATAACAGTCTTAGTAAAATTTCCATCTTCGGATTGTCACACAAGCAAGTTAAGAGTCTCTAATTTGTTGTGGTCTTGTACAGAAGCAACAGATGCCTCATCTCTCAGAACACAACTTTTTGCATTATTATTATTATTATTATTATTATTATTATTATTAGAAACACCACAAGATGAGTCCACAGCAGACACTCTGCTGGCTGTTGTATTGGATCACACGTGTCTAGGACTGTGTGATGTATCGGCAAATAATGCGTACAGACCCCAGTAAGGTGGCCTTCTACAGCTGGCAGATGGCAATTTTGTCAGTGCCGATTGTGTTTAAGTGCAGGCCAAGATCTTTAGGCACTGCTCCCAGTGTGCTGATCTCCACTGGGACTACCTTGATTGGCTTGTGCCAGAGTCTTTGCAACTCAATATTTAAATCCTCATATCGTGTCATCTTTTCCAGTTGTTTCTCTTAAATCCTGCTGTCATTTGGGATGGCAACATCAACAATCCATACTTTGTTTTTTATTTATTTATTTATTTATTATTATTATTATTTATTTGATTATTATTATTATTATTATTATTATTATTATTATTATTATTATTATTATTTGTGGTATTTGTATACCATCCTTCTTAATCCTGAAGAGGACTCAGGGCAGTTCACAGTGTTAGCAACAACTCAATGCCATCCATAAAAAATTGTATAAAACATCAAAATTGACCCTCCCCTGATAAAACATTAAGCATTATTAAATACATCACATGAAATAACATCACATATCACAGACATAACTGTTGTCCGTAAATAACTGTTGCCCTGGGTCATTGCACTTTCAACTTTCACTTTCACTTTAAATATTCCTATGATGGGCCGAATGCTTGGTTCCAGAGCCAGGTCTTTAGCTGTCTCCTAAATATCAGGAAGGAGGTGGCCAACCTGATCTCACTCAGGAGAGAGTTTCACAGCTGTGGGACCACCACCGAGAAGGCCCTGTACCTTGTCCTCTCTGGAAGATCTTAATCTACGAACTGGTTCATAGAGGGAGATACATTCGGACAAGTAAGTTGAACTGGAGCTGTTTAAGACTTTATAGGCTAAAGCCAGGACTTTGAATCATGCTCGGTAGTTAATAGGCAGCCAGTGGAGTTGCTGCAACAGGGGGGTTGTATGCTCCCTGTGCTACACCCCAGTTAACAATATGGCTGCAGCGTGTTGGACTATTTACAGCTTCTGAACAGTCTTTGAAGGCAACTCCATGTAGAGTGTGTTGTAGTAGTCTAAACGGGATGTATCAAGAGTGTGGACCACTGTGGCCAAGTCAGACTTCCCAAGGTACAGGCACAGTTGGCGCACAAGTCTTAGCTGTGCAAATGCCGCCCTGGTCACCACTGACATCTGCATTTTTGTATCAGTTTTCATATTATACTTTGAATTAGAGTGACTCCAGAGTAAATACATCTGTGCTGTAATTACTCTGATAGGCAGGGGCTAGGTCTAGTTTTGCTTCTTTCCATTATTCTAAAATAAAGCACTTGTTCAGAAAAAAAGGATTGGTTTCTTGTAGATTAGATCATCAGAGATATATTGTAACTTAACAAGAGCAGCTGTCCTCATAGTTGCATAGTTGTAAACATTATCAGATGTGGGGTGATCGGCCCTAGGAATGTGTGTCGTTGGGCTAAAGTGGGTCAACCATGTCCATATTTGCCAAGGCTAATTGTGAAAAAGGGGTACAAATGACAAGAGTTAACAGAGGAAGCAGTTCTGGATTTTCAGTAAATTGAACGCAGTCCTTACCTTTCTCAAAGAGATACTCAGAAGGAGGTATTTCAAAGCTGCTTGTAGAAAAAGTTGTGCTTGGTAATTCGGGCACCATCAAAGCTGTTTCGGAGTTGCACAAAGCCTTTTCTGAACATGACAGGTTTGTTATCTCTCAAGTATCACATGAAGTATCACGGACACTTTGAAATAACTGTTTGTAGTGACAGAAGTAGAAGAGTAGAAGATATATGTATGTGTCTGTGCATGTTTTGAAATAATTGTGGTAAATATTTGAACTCTTGTAGAAATATGCTCTTGTCTTTTGCTGTGTTTATAATCAGAATTAGTTCAGTTTACCAATGCATAGAAAAGAAGTTAAATGGTTTGTTCAAACACTGCAGGGCAGAGTGGGAAGGTTGCTTAGTTCTGTACAGAAACTTTGGAAAAAAGAACTGTTTGGCAGACAATACTGTACATGTGGGGAAGACTAGAATGATATGCTGTGAAAATGTTGGAAGCCGAAAGGTGTTTGAACCATAAATAACTTCGGACATTGCTTGACCTGGAATGCCTTGTGGGTACTGAAGCACAGTGAGTGGTGCAGCCAGTATATACCACTCATTTTTAATGCAAAGTTACTTGTGCCATATTGATGTAAAGTGATAGGTTTAGTTCAGTACTTTGAATCTCTTGGGGCTAGTATTATTAGTTGAAAACATTTCACATTTAACTATTTATAGTTACTTTTGATACTTATTTATTTTGCCTTGTTCCAGTCTGGATATTTAAAGGAGAAAGACATACAAAATTAACATTGCATGGAAAATTTAAAAATACAATTAAACTATTGATAGTTACAAGGAAATATTAATAAAAAAACAATAAAAACAGAGCACAGCACATTAAAGACGCCTGAGCAGTCAGACCTGAAGAGACACAAGGGTAGTGGTTAAAAGTTAATTTATACTAGTATTATGGAGACCACATAATAACCCAAACTGGTGTCACATCATATCATGCCCTTTCTATTCTTGGCAGAAAGAATTTATTGTTAGATGATACAATTATCCTTTCCTAAATCAACATTTCTTCTAAACATTTGAATACTTTAAATAATTAAGTGTGGCAAAGTGGAAGTAGTTTTAAATGAAGCTGAATGAAGTTGTCAATGTATTTCATCATAAGAGTTTCTGCCATTTCTCTGATTGCCTTGGGCATGATGTTGTGTCAGCTCATCTTTTTTATGATGTTAATTGATTTTAATGTTTTTATTATTTGTTGTTATTGATGGTTTTTACTTTGTCTGTTTTATTTGTAATCCTTGCCCCTCTGTAAGCTGTCCCGAGTCCCTTCAGGGAGATGGAGTATAAAAATAAAAGTTGTTGTTGTTATTATTATTATTATTATTTTCTAAAGAAGCCAAATAAAGTATTTAACTTACAATATATTTTTCATAAAAGTGATAATTGAACGTAAGATGGCAAAACAGTCATCCCAAGATACTGTACATACATTGAAAGCAACATGTATTGGGGAAAGATGGCCTCCTATAGTCATATATTAAAAATGTTAGAGGAAACAGCATTACTTGTACAATGTTTTTAAGATATTTCAAATGTCACCATCAACATCTATAAAGGCACCAGGCTAATTTTATTAAAATCCAAGTAATTATGCTACCATTTAAGTAACAAATGGTTGAAGACTTAGGTTAGACTAACTCCTATAAAAAAGAAGCCCATAAGTTGATGGTTCCAATTTTCTCCACAGAGATTTGCACTAAATGAATTGATGTTTTGGCAGGGATAAGCACATGCCTAACTCCAAATGTCAACTCCAAAGAGAGCAAATCATCTGAATCAAACCAATTTATCAAATCTGCTGTTTTCTGGTGGAACAGATACTTGGATTTATGCCAAAATGTGCAGTTTAGGTTAGGGTTATCTAGGTTTGCTCACTGGTGAGGTAGCCAGTTGAGGTATTCAAGCTATGTCCTTTCACAAGGTGTTACACAAATATTGAATGCTGTTACTATTAAGTGTTGCACAGCAGTATTGCTGTCATAATTTCTTTGGCTTGTGCGTATTTGAATCCTCCAATTTGAAACAGATTTTAACTTTAATCAACACCTATTAAATTTAAACGTTATGTCAAGTTCATAATATGTGAATATGGTGGCATGTATTTGTTTAAAAAAATAATGTACTAACTAGACCTCTTTATCTTTTACTGTTGACAGAAGTCTCCTCAAGTGGTGATTAATGAGATTGTTATGTTTCATTTGCAGGATCCTTCTTATTGGGTGAATATTCACCATCTGGAGTACACAGATGGGGGAATCCTGGACCCAGATGACATCCTAGCAGATGTTGTAGAAGACAAAGATAAGGTGGATGGAGAATTAATCTTTATTTTTAACTGGAAATTGTCAGTTTGAATTAAGATCTGATTTGACTCTGCTGTAACCTTATATAACCTACTCTATGTAACGTTTATGTGATAGTGTAACACTGGGATAAAATATTCCAGATAACAGCAATACATAAAAATTGGCTGGCTTTTGTTGAGTAACTTTGTGTTAAGACAGCAACATCAACAACAAAATTTAGTGGCTTTTACAATTCTGACACAAGCTAATGACTAGTGAAAGTAGTTACTGGTTTAAGAATGATATTTGTTAATTTGGCTTCAGATGTGATTGAATATGTATTTTTTAACTATTGTCAGTGAAGAAATTCACATACAAACATATGTAATTGATTTACAATTAGAAGTAACTAAGTCTACCATTTCATTAGGAGTTAGGTGAGATTGGTGCATGGGATGAGTTTTTCTATGGGTATAAGATCATATGATACAGAAACACCTCCAGAAAGGGCCAGTCAGAACATGCCTTCCTTCCCTTCCTTTTTTCTTGTCACATCCCCTGAAAAGCCCTTCCTAAGGGCAAGGCAATCACCTTGAATGGGGATGGCTTTGAAACAGGAGAGAACTGCTGAAAAAGCAGGAGAGAAATGGTTGATTCAGCAACAACACAGTAAACTGTTTGATTAATCTTTGCAGTGTCTCAATATTTGTTTGGACAATGTTGTAATTTAGCAGTTACATTTGACAAAATGCAATTATTTTCATGTTACTTATTTTTTATGTTTACTAGTGCTGAAACTTTAAAAAATACAGGCATCGTGATCTTGCTTGCATTGTTGCAATCAACTGTGAATTGAAATGCATGCTAAAGAGAAGAAATATATTTTATGAAACTAGGGTCCTCTTGATAGACGTTAGGTAGAGGGTATCATCTGGAGCAATGTTTCTCAAACTGTACTCTTCCAGGTGTTTTGGACTTCATCTCCCAGAAAACCCAGCCAGTTTACCAGCTAGTAGGAATTGTGGGAGCTGAAGTCCAAAACATCTGGAGGACCACAGTTTGAAAAACTCTGATCTGGAGCAATTAAATTGAATAGGGAATGGTGCTTTGTGATCCCTATGTTGCATTTCTGTTTTGTTTTCTGGGAAAGGAAAAAGCAAAATTATAAATTTTGAAATATATAGATAAATTAAAAGTACTCGAGCAACTTTGATAGTACAAATTGAGTAGCTCTTTTTCTGGGGCCAGATTTCTTTTGGATCTTGAAACATTTGTATTTGCATAGACATAGATAATGAGATTTAGTTATCTTTCATTTACACTTTATACAAATAATCTCAAGGAAATTTTATACAATATTTCAAATAACCTTGTGCATGAAACAAAGTTTGTGTACATTAAGCCATCAGAAAGCAAAGGTGTCACTGTCTCAGCCACCCGTGTGGATAGTTTCAGATTTTTTTTTAGTATTTTGGATTTTGTAATTTCAATTAAGGGCTGATCAACCTATAATTTTTTGATGTGCTGACAGAAATAAATTCCTGAAATAAATTAAAAGTAAGAGAGAAAAGAAGGAGGCAATAGCTATTTCGTTTTCTCACTCTACCAAATAAAGTAAAAGATCCTTGTGTTTTTTGAAGTTGTGTTGGGCATTTCAAGCAATTTAGGAATCACAGGGCTGTCAAAAAGAGAAAACTTGAGATGTTTTTAGATGTAAGGCTAAAGCTTCTGTGTTTTTAAAAATAAAGACACATATCTGAATAATGTGCTGTTTCTAACTTCAGAAAATTACAGTATAATTAAAGGTGGCAAGCTGTACATGTTTACTGTGCCTTGTTGCTAATTAACTGTTGAGATTTTAGAGGAGGGCTGGCTAACAGCTGGTGGAGGTAACAGGAATGTGGAGGGCTTTGGAGGTGATGAGCAAAACAACAAAGTCTTGTGCATAATGAAACACTTTAAGTTTTCTGTCCTTTTGAGAAACCAACTATTCATGTAGCCCACTTCTTTTAGGAGAATAGGAAAGATGTTTCATTAGAAAGAAGATTAATCGTGTGGGTACTTGAATTTCCGTAGCTTCTCTCTTATATGTCTGTTGTTCTAGGTTGTATTAACCAAATATTTCTGCAACTAAATCTGTCTGCTGTATAGATCACATTTTTCTTATGTATAATTAAAAGAACTTTGCCTTATTGAACATTCTCATTTTTTAACCTTTTTACAGTGTTAACAAAAAAAAATGCCATAGATTGGATTGCCGTCCTTTATGTGCTGCTAGTTAAAAGTACCTTAACTTTTGTATCCTCATTGTTCCCTTCTATTTCTTTCACTGTTCTTCTGTCTGTGTACAATGGATGGGTCATGGGCTGCACATGACCTCTAAGGTGGTTTTTATAGCCCAAAGATATCTCAGAAGTCCTTCAGGCTTTGCCTTGAGAGATTGATTTTTTAAACTTAAAAAAATGACCTTGAAGAGCACTGGAAGCACCTTTTGGTTTTGTTTTGTTTATTAAAAATGTGGAATTTTCAAGCTGACATTCCTCACAGTAAGTCCTGGAAACCTTCCAAAGTTGTCAACTTCTAATCTAGAATTTTTGGATCACAGGCAAAGGAAAGTGCCTTTTTCTATGCTAGTTCAATGTTGACGCATTCTTTTGAAGCTCCTACTTCCATACTTCTCTCTCATTTGAAGCTGTTGGCTTTTATTATATGAATAATCTTAGTAAACAGCACTATGATCCCCCAAAACGTTTCATAAAGTCACGTAGGTCACTCATAATTGAAGTGCTGCTTTATTTATTTATTTATATTTATTTATTTCCTATATTGATACCTCACTCTTCTCACCCTGAAGGGGACTTCCAAACATCTAGGCTTAGGTTTGGAAGTCCCTGGCTGAATCAGTGCACTATTAAGGACCTGGAAGTTTATTGGTGCATTATGCTATTAATGGCTTGCTTAACCAGATCACCCTACAGTTACAGCAACTTCATTGGCAGTGTTAGGCAAACAAGCTTTGCTAAATATTGTGTCCTGATCCTTAATGTGTGGAAAAACTGAAACTCTCTTGGAGGAATGTTGTGCAGCTGTCAACATATGTGAAGCACTATATAGAAAAGGAGTGCGTTGTTCTGAAAGACTAGGAGGTTGCATTAATGCTTCAGGAGATCCTGTTCATCCCAATAAACTCTTTTTGCACCCAAAAGCCTTGCAGGGAACATGAGGGTGTGTTTTGGAGCCTTCCTGGGCCCTTAGGAGGCATATTTATGCATGCTTTTGTATCTCCACTGTTTTGAGGGGTTTTGTTTTGCAAAATTTGTTTTGAACTCAGATCGTGTTCAGTGTGGCCCCAGACATGATGGAAATGGCATCCATACCCTCTAGAGATTGTGGGGAGGGGGCTTCTGTCACAAAAATGATGCTAGGAGCTAACATACAAACTGTAGGCAATATTTTGAGTCTTAAATATCTTCCCCCAGCCCCTTGACTTTGCCATAGTCAATTTTTAAATTTGAGAAAACATGGAAACATTGAGGCAAATATGGTTTTAATCCTTGTGTTTTATCCTCCCCTCAGACAAAGGACAGGTAGCCATATGAAGAATATAATGGGATGAACAGATCAATTGAAAGCATGACATTACATTAAAATTGTTCCTAGCCTTGATTCTAATTCATCTTGTCTTATTGAAGCTTGTGTGAAAGAAAGTTCAATGTGCAGGCCCTAGGACTGGTTAATGCATCTCTTTGTGAGGGGCGGGTTCCAGTTGCCTTTATAGAAGCAACTGTTAGACTGATTCTGAAAAATCACACCTTTGACCCAGAGATTTGTTATGCTTTCTTCTCAGTTACAGATACCCCCTTTTGTCTTATGTGATCTGTGTGACAGGTACCATGAATACCTGCCCCCAAATCCCAGCCATTACCCTTAATGAAAGATGCCAACTCCTTATACTAACCTTGGGATTGACCAATCATTGCAGAAGGCTTCCACCAGCTTGTCAAGGATACATAACTCACTCTTCAAAAAATCAGCACAGGTTGCCAGTTTTATCTACACAGTGTACCATGTTTGGCTTATAAGGACCAATACAATTTATTTCCATGTTATCAGAGATCCCATGTTCTCCTCTACCGTCCATCCTACTCTTTACTCTCTGTGGAGAGAGATGTCCTCATTGTATTTAAGTCCCATGAGGCTTTGAGTTGTTGAGTGAAAGCTTCTATGTTGTGGCTCCATGTGGAATGGTGATTCCATTGAAAATTGGTAGTTTGTAGTGTTTGGCGTTTCCTCCATTAATTGAAGACCTGTGTGTTTTCTCTGTCCCTTTCCTGTTCATTGTTATCATTGTTAATATTTGTGTGTTAAAGAACTGAAATAATTATCTCTGAGTATTCCTTGCCTAAGAAAACAGTATGAAATTATTGAGGTCATCATAAGTCAACAGACATGTGCACACAAACATTGAATGGTTTTATGGATCATTGTGTTTTATCATAGAATCATAGAGTTGGAAGAGACCTCATGGGCCATCCAATTCAACCCCCTGCCAAGAAGCAGGAAAATTGCATTCAAAGCACCCCTGACAGATGGCCATCCAGCCTCTGTTTAAAAGCTTCCAAAGAAGGAGCCTCTACCACACTCCGGGGCAGAGAGTTCCACTGCTGAACGGCTCTCACAGTCAGGAAGTTCTTCCTCATGTTCAGATGCAATCTCCTCTCTTGTAGTTTGAAGCCATTGCTCTGTGTCCTAGTCTCCAGGGAAGCAGAAAACAAGTTCGCTCCTTCTATCCTTTGCTATTTTATTTGCTTTTTGTGAGCCATGCTGGTATTTTCTAAAATGAAAAGTGGCATGGGATGTTGGAAATAAATAGCAAACATTTTGGAGGTTTGCATATAGCTGGTTAGGTGTGAGAGTTTTATATTTGGTTTCTTATGTTAAGATAAGAATATACTGGTAATTTTTATATATGTCTCTGAATTTGAAGAAGCACCCTTAAATGTATTTTGATATTTTTTCTA